CTCCTTCACAACCTCCACTCCCAAGTCATCTTTGCCAGCTTTTGGCGCCGCTTTGGGCGCCCCTGCTTTCGGCACAGCCGCTTTTTTTGCGGCCCCGCTTTTGGGCGGCATGCTGGGAGATGAAGACGACAAATGCTGAAAAAGATGCGGACAAGCAATCCAAGTTATATCTGCCATGGTCAGTAATTGCAACACATGCAACACATGGCCCCTTAGGTACAGCCATCCGAGCTTTGATTTGTGTAGGGGCCGGTGCTGCAGTTGGAAAGTCTGTAGGTAAAGGTGGCGAGTTGGACTTTGGGCAGGGTTCAGGGGGTAGGTGCGAGCTTTGCTTACTGGCAAGCTTATATGGAAACCAAGTACAATTTTTTGGGCCCTGCTTTCCGAACATTCGCTTGCACAGGCCTTGATTAAAGATGTGCTGCAGATCACAGTCAGTGCTACAGTACGCAAGTTTGTTTGAACAGATGCGCCCCAGACTTAGCACAGTGCTATACCGCATGCAGAACCTTGCATGCAAGCATGCTCCAATCGCGAAACCTGGCCCTTTACAAAAACCGGACTGCCTTCGGCATCCTTCGGCAACAACAGCCTCAACTTCCTCAACCCGCCAACTTTAGCGCTAACCTTACAACCTATCAACCCAAACTATGGCCTTCCAGCTCAGCTCCGCCGGCTTTTCAGACACCTGGCGCTTGCTGCCGAGTCCTGCTGCAACTTGCGGCGGTCGAAGCAGATCTTCATCACACCAAGGATGCCCACTTCCTCTCGCATGGTGAGCCTGCTGGTACAGCCAAGCGCACGATGCCAGCTCGAGTGCTCAACTTGTCAAGGCCAGGATCCGAGAACATCGTGGTACCTCCAATGTGCAAGCCTCGATTCGATATACTTTGGAGTTGGATCAGGGCATCGCCTTGTCCAAGGCCTTCCTGAAAATGCCACTGCTGAAGCCTCAAACCTCACAGATCAAAACAACTGCAACACCCTGAGTTGTCTGAACTCAGCCCTGATATTCCCCTTTCCTTAAACAGAATAGACTGACAAAGTACTTCCCTTGGAACATGCACCCCCCTTCCAGAACAGGCTGAAATGCCATCCAGGCTTTACACAAAGGCACACACCCGAAATGGTATTGCAATCCTGACCCAGTCCCTCAGCCCTACACCCTATGCCAAACTGGCACATCAACATGCCATACAAAGATGGTTTTGCATCATGTTCGGGCATGCTGCGGGACACCATAATTTGGCCAGCCTTTTTCTCTCGCAATGGATCTGCGATCATTTTCGCGCGGAACGCTTCAGTTCTGGCCGTTGGTCTAGAAGCGCCTCGTCGGAACGAAGGAACTGAAAGGTTGAGGGTTTGGGGTCTCAGAGATTCAGGGTTTAGGCTCTGGGGGTTCAGGATAGGATTTAAAGCCTCAAGGTTTTAGGACTGACTTAGACGCTGTAGGCTGGGAGGACCCCCCACCCTTTCGTAGTGGCCTAATAGGAACATCAGAGGACCCTAGTAAAATTACCATTCTCCCTTATAGTCAGTTATTAAAATTACAGGGTGGGGGGTCCACCTAAGCTATAGGCTGTAAGGGTTCAGGTTTTCAGGGTTAACGGCTCAGAGTTTGGACCAGGCTTTAAGCAGCCTGCGCTACCTCCAGTAGAGAAACTTTTGGGTTTCCCTAAATTAGGAGGTAGCTTCGTGTGGGTCCACACAATAGGACTACTGTATTTTGGGGCTGTATTGGGTTTATTATCTTGGCAAACTACCACTTCTTTTTGTCCAGATGTTTGGGTCCCAACGTCTGGGTACTTCCGAAGATGAGGGCCCGATTGTATACCCGCAACTATGCTAATCCTCATCTTACTGATGGTTCGTTGGGAAGAAGAGACTTTTTTTACATGGGAATTATATGCCCTTGTTTCCTAGCAACCACCAGTAAGTTATCGTGGGGACCCGCAAAAGGAACCCCGAGATGCCGGATTGGCTTAAGGGGTATGAGCTGGGAGGCCCACAGCCTCCCAAGGCTAACCCAACAGAGCGGTGCAATGCGCAGTTGCTACTTTGCAGCATTGACGCATCCTTTACTGAACCCAGAACACTGGAACCTGAACCCTAATCTCCTAATGCTACCGGTGCTTGCCTCAGCCCAGCGCCCTCTTTCGCTCAATGCTTGTACATCCGCCTAACACATGACCTGCAGCTTATAAGCCCCGCTTTCAGACATCAAGCCGCACGTTTAGGGAACCTAATGCCTATGATGGGTAATCATCATGTTGCTATGGGAAGTTTTTAGCGTCTCCCTCGTATGAAACACCTCCACCCGTTTACATTGAATATTGCCGACGCGCCAAAACCCTAAAACCACATTTTAAACACACAGGCTCACACCTACTGAACATAAGCTACACGCTTCAATTTCCATATTATCTCTGAAAGCCAATCTATGTTCGGAACAAGCCAGCTGCAAGAAGCACCTGAAGCTCTGGTTCTGGCTTACCCTTCCTGAGAGTCGGGCTCAGGGTTCAGGGCTTCAGGCTGAGGATTTCGGCTTTAGCGTTCAGGGTTCAAGGTTTAGGGTTCATGATTCAGCGGTTCAAGGCTTAGGGTATAGGATTCGTGGTTCATTAACACAAGCAGCCACTTTGTAAGATCTTGAGGTGAAGTCCAAGGGGGGTTGGAGTTCAGGCTGTCGGGCCACGGGTTTAGGGTGGGATCTTTGAGGCGGGTCAGGATTCAAGGCTTCGGGTTCAGCATTTTGACTTGAAGGTGTAACAGTTAGGGCTATGGCTGAACCTGGGCATTGTGGTACTGTAGCCTGATTTCATGTATCTGTTGAGCTGCGGCCTCAGATGACCAACACAAATCCTTACACAAACTCAGTACACATAGGCACACTGACGCCTCCGCTAATGAGGAGGAGATGTTCAAACTTGGCACGCCGCATGTTGAGCAAGTGACGCCTGAACGATTCCGATGTGCTCGAAGTATTTGAAACGTGCAATTTTGGCTTCAGCGCATTGGGTGATTGCACCCTCCAACTAGTAGGACCTTGGACGCACAAGCCTAGATCAAGGGCCCAACGGTCTTGCAACGTGCTCTCATACTTGATAAGACTGACAAGTTGCCTTGATGCCTGACATTTTGAAAGCCAAAATTGCTGTCCTGCATTTCCTGACCATTTGACTCTGACCACAATTCCTACGCCCTGGAACACTAGAGTCGAAGCCTCAATGCAGATAATTGCATCAGAGCAGCGCTAGCCTTTTCTCCTTCTTGCGCAAGACCTTCTGCCTTCGTGCCTGCTTGGTGGGTGAAGCAAGCTTGGTGTATAATCGCTGCATAATCCCAATGTTGTAGTTTCCCTTCCATTTTCCATTTTCTCCTCCATTGATTCTCCAGCTATATGCTGTTCAAGTTTTGGCCCCTGGAGTCACCTTGCAGGGCCTGATTTCCGCGCAGCCCTTCGCCCCTACGGCATGGGTTTGGCATCGGGGAAAATGCTCAACTGCCCGTGAGTCTGGAGAATTAGCCACAGCATCGTAGACCAGAACTTGCAGCTGCAGGTGCAGAACACGACCAGCCACTCTACGATTTTGTTTTCCGATCTCCCCGCCACAACGAGAAGCATTGGACATTTCGCTGCCCTCTATAGAATATGACATCAGGCCTATACGTGTAGGGTGCAAGGACTTCATGACTTGACACAAGGTAGTTTCCAGAAATGAATATAGTTGGGACCCCCAAAATGGTACCCCTAATTTTAGGAAACCCCCCCAATGGTCCACTGCCAGCCTCGATCAGCATGTACATTGGATCCTTACTGCAGCTGCTGATTGGTCAGTAGGGAATAAAGGAATACAGTATAGGCGTTATATAAGGATTATATTCCCTTATTCCCTACTAACCCCAGTAAGTCTGTTGAGAGCATTCGAGATCTTAGCTGTTTCTGAGGTCTGCGGTAGCTGGAACCCGACAAGCTATGTCAACAGCTCCCTATTTAAGGATGCATGATTCAAACCTGACTACCTTTTGCGTAGGCTTCAGTTTGTGATTGCTGATATATCCCCAAATAGGCCCTGTATACTATAGTCCCTATTTTGGGGACGCCCCCACACACAAAAAAAAGGTACCCCGAATTTTGGGAAACCGCCTGTTGGGCTAGACACTCAAGTTCTCAAACACGCGGCCCGCCCCTCCGTCAGATCTTTAAGCGCATTTCCTCTCAACTGTCTCTCAGTTGTAAGGTCACCCCCCCAGAATTTGCATCCCAAAAGAGGTGCATAGTACTGACTTAGGGTCGAAGTTACACCCACAACAGTGGTACAACAGAAAGATACAGGAACCCTTGTCCCTTGTGATCACTGTGCTCAATCAAACAGAGGGCTTGAGGTCCCAAGCCCTGTCAAAGCAATCCGACTTGGCCCCAACGTGAACCCTAAACCCCAAACTGCTCAAAAGGGCCATTTACGTGCCAAACTTGGGGTCCAGGTCTTCAAGTTTGTTTTCTAAGACTTAGAGATTGAGGCTGCGTGACAGTGGAAAGATCTCAAAAATATGGGGGGGGATATAATATCACCTCATGCGTGGAGGATAGTACATACACGTGCACACACATACATACATGCATGCATGCATGCGTACAGACAGACATACCTTCCATATCCCAGATGGGCCATAGAGCCACGCCCCACTTTGAATCCCGTAAACCTTACCAAGATGTGGCATACCAGAAATCTAATGTAACTAAAGTCCGACCCTGACAGGATGCGACAGAAGCTCAAGTTTCCTTGACGCCAAGTCTCGAATTGTACCGCATCACCCATGGCTGCCTCCGGCGGTTTAAGTTTGATAGTTCTGCTATAGGTTCACGGCCTCTGAAGGAGTGCAGGTTCAAAGCAGCTTCTTTTCGGCCTGGAGTTCAGGATCAGGGAGAGGGTATTCCCAAAGGACGAGCGGAACACCCCTTAATTACCTCATACCCTTTGCAATCGTGAGGCAGACCTTCAGCGATCAGTCAGTCCAACCTGCATCGCCGTCTGCACCATGCTCATGTACTCCACACAGCGGTCATAGTACTGCGGATCTTTGGTGATTGCGGCCTGTCATAGGGTCATGGCGGCCGTCAGAAATTATGTGTAGTAGCTCTCGGGGCTAAAAGGACTTCAAACGAAGAAAACCAAAAGAAACAAGTAGGGGAGGAGGCTGAAACAACAAACAAATTGAGGCCAAAAAGCAGAGACTTACCCGCTTACCTACACTCCCAGGCCTTCGCGTCGTAGAGAGTCGCAAGGCCAGTGCACATTTGGCCCACAGCTGGGTTCCTCATGCCATAGCAAATAAGCCTTTTTGGGTAAAGTCTTGTTTAGTCTTGTTGGGGAGTGGAAGCAATTTCCCATGGTCTAGACTGCCCCATTCCACTATGCAACAAGACAAGGCAAATGAAGGTTCGGTGGTGAGCAACGCATTGGGAGTCAACCCTGTAAATTCCGAATTCAGTCCTAAACCCCAAGCCCATTCTTCGAGTTCCTGTGGTACTTCCAGGCTCACGGGCAAAATCTGTGCAGGAATACGAGTCGGGCAGGCAGGTCGTAGCTATCATGGGAACTTTCTAGCTTGTTGATGACTGTACGCGAAAGGGGCAATTTTTGAAGCTTCTGAGCAATTTAGAAGGCAACATACTCGGAGCAGCTGGCATCTTGTACCATAGCTATGTAAAACGCAGGATCAACAGTACTAGGAGAAGGTTGTGAATACTCTCGCTTCTGCATTGATCAATTTAGGTTTGGGTTTGGGGTCAGGTTGAGGGTGAGAAGGTCAGTGGGATCAAGAATTATGGTTGCAGCCCCCCTAACCCTACTTACCTATCATTACCCGTGAAACCTTCCCATCCCCTGACCTAGGTCTAACTGGGGGTCTGGCGCAAAGCCTCCATTTGCCATCATGTCCTGCAGTGCTGCCTCATAGGCCTTCCATGAGAATCCCGTAGGGGTTGTGGGGTTGAGGGCTTCAAGTCTAGAGTTTGGTGCTCAGGGCAGGGCACTTGGTTTGGTAGTTCAACATGTAGCCCTGATGAATTCAAAGTTTGGGATGGGTCCACACTTTAAGAGTTTCTCAGACAATGGGTCTCTGTTCAGGAACCCTTGCAATCCTAACTTTTGCCAACAAGGACAAGGGACAGTAACTTGGAGAAAATGCGTTTCATCTCGTTCTCACTGGCTGGGGATGGTCCCAACCCTGAACCATAAATTTCTACTTCTCAAGGAGTTTGTGCATTAGCCTTCTCACGCTGGCGCGTGCGTTGCTCGGATAGACCTGCTTCCCTATGAAAGCTTCAAGGCTAAAGTCCCTGCACCTCCCTGAGCAGATTCGAAATCATGAGGCCTCATCATATGGCCATGCCCTTCTGAACCTGGATATATTGGTCCTGCCAACCCCGAACCACATCTATTGCCCCTGTAAGCCCGAAAACTGCATGAGTCCGAACATTCCAACCCTGACTTCCTGAACCCTCAAAGCAATAAACCAGTGAGCCTGAATCGCTCGATCGTTGTCGAAGCCTTTGGCCAGCACGCAGCCATCGCCATAGTCAATGAAGGATGGCTGTACCTGAAGGGCGCGTCTAAAGATGATCGGCCCCGACAGGAACACGTGTGAACCGGGGAATGCCTTGCGAGTGGATCCCCAAAGGAGCCCTTCCTTTGTCACAGCTCTCAGCTGATTATATGGCAACGTGCGAAGTGAGTGGCTTCGTTTCGGAGGCACCGCGTTGGGGCCTGGATCTTAAAAGGTGAGTTGCAGTCAGGACCGCATTAATCTTTCCTCATGTATGTCGGGGTCTGAAACATTTTTTGTTGGACTTTTTGGTAGAAATTGCGGGCACCTAAGTCTCTGCCAGCACCTCTGCGAATCGACACTTGAAACCCACCACTGGACTTCATAATCAGGATTATTTGGTAGCAAACCTCAAAATTATGAGCATCACATAGCTGCAAACGAGTTCTTTATCCAAGCGTTGCACTTTCGAACCAGTTCTGATTATCCCGTGCTTCTGGCACTCAGAATCACCCCCGACTGGGTTGCAGGCATTGCTGATTGCCGGTTTTCGCAGGCCCTCTGGCACGTCGCTGGAGAAAATACCTCAGATGGCAGAAATCCACACCCACCCTAAACTCTAAACTGCGAAACCGTGTTTGAAATGCCGCGATAGATTAAACACCCCCCAAGGTATCACCACAAAGCCATGCTCCTCAAACCTACAAACCCCAAGCTTCCAAACTTGGGGTTTAGGGTTTAGCCTCGGAACCCCACTTACAAGTTCCCCACATCGACCCCAAGCATGGAGACGGATTCCTTCTTGTTCTGATCACGAATGCTCCATGTTTGGCATCCGCTTTCCAAGTGTGAGCCCAAGCCTAAAACCCCAAACGCCAGACCCCAAACCGCAAGCTAACCCTGAACCCCAAACCCCAGAAAAAGAGAGTTGCTGCTTGTGCCGTGCGGCCGACCAACAGATCTTGGGACATGGTTGGGCTCCCACCTTAGCAAGAATCCACATTGGGTTTAGGGTTTTGAGTTTCAAGGCTAATCAAGGTTGATCAGGGTTTCAAGTCTAGGGCTCAGGGAGTTTCAAGTGCGTTGGACTGTTTGGAAAGATTGATCGGTATGGTTTTGGTTGTGGCTTCCGTGAGGGTAGCCAAACAGACTCCTGAAGTAATATTAGCGAGTATATATACCTAGGCTCCCCAATAACCCCTGAAATAAGAAGGGTACCCTTTTTCCTTTAATAAGGAGACACCCAAATACTAAGGGAAAAGGGGTACTACTGGGGTACCTAGATACTTGTATGTAATCATGTAGTGTCCTTTTAAGCGACCATAAATACACTGTAAGTTAACTTCCTACCCAGATAGGGACAATTCAATGCAGGGGTGGCAGTTCAGCAACTTGAAAATGAATGTGTGCAAGCATATGGCAGTTTGCTTTGCTGCAAAGGGTGTAGAGGTGACGGGCTTGGGTATCGGAATTCAGGCTTAGGATTTTGGGACTTGCGTCTTGCATGATACCCATATGAACCTGATGCCTAACTCGTGTGCTGGAGTTGGGTCTCCCAATTCAAGCATCTTCCATGTGTGGGCAAGGGCTTTAAGCGGTAGCGCTTATTCTGAAAAGAGTTTCTCTGCCTACCTGAAACCCATTCAGTCTATGGCTGAAGTCTATCCCGAAAGCAAAGCAGGAAACACCACCTGAAGAGCCGATCTGCCGGAGACTGTGAAAACACTTGCCATTTTTATGTTGGCTGTGCAAGTGCGAGTTTGTATAGCTCAAGCCAAGCGTGGTTCCCAAAGTATTGTGCGAGGGTGGATGCCGTGGCTTCCTGAAACGGCTGGTATGAGAAAGTGTCCAAGGCAGATTGAGTATGAAACCCTGTTTACAATTGTTTAGACCTGGCATCAACTCCGATCACACTACTTCATTCAGGTCATGCTTCGCATCGCATGCGCGAAGGAAACTCTGATAATTTTTGCAGAAGCTTCCATGGTCACATGATAAATAGGCACTGCTTACTTCACATTTCTCCACCGAGCCCAAACTTTGACCCCCCGCAAAAACAAGCGAACCGTATACAAGCCAGTCTTGAAATCGCTGTAGTCTGTAAAAGGTCTTCCAAATTGTTTGGGGCAGGGTAAATCCTCTAGCTAAACATGCAAGCTGAGATCGGCGCTAAGCCACGAGTCTATAACATCATCTTTGTACACTTCACGCAAGCCAGAAAAGCGGCGGAAGCAGAACACTGGTTTTGGATTCGGGCGAATGAGGTAGGGGTTTCTTCGCTTGTGCAGTTTTGATTGACTATGCATGGTCCACGGATGGATCCGCTACTGGGCCCGAAGGATGCGCCCATGTCCACTTTTTCATTGGGATGCCACCTGAAATTACCTGGAAGCTCAGGAACGGTATCTCTAAGAGTCGCGTTTTTGTAGTGCTATCTTCGATTGCTGCCTCCAGCAAGCAGCCTACCAGATGGAGATTTTTCAGCGGCTCGCTGGGGACATGAAGCATGCTCAACCGCACTTCAACCATCTCAAGACGCATTAGTTATACACTACCCTACACGGCAAATCTCAAGATTCCTAGCGGGGCTGGGTGGGCTCCAAGTGGAAAAGAAGCACAGCAATCTTAGGCAAACTTAAACATTGGAGCACTGGAGAGCCTTAGGAAGACAGCATTTGGGGGTTGTTTGGAGATCTGAGGGAGGTGTCGGTTCTACCACCCCCCAAGCTTGGACCAACTTTGTTTCAAGTAGGCGCTACATCCCCCTGAAAGCACCACCAGTGCTGCATCATCGCTGGTTTTGCCGCGGTCCTTGCGCGATGGGCTGCCTCAAGGGCAGCACCGTCCTAGCTAAAGTGCCCAAAGGTCCCGGTTTCCAAGGCAAAGCCGTTGTAAATACTCAACTTGTTGGAACACTTTGGTAAAAGGATAGGGGTTTAGTGTTTAGGGCTTGGGCTGGAGAGACCTTCCCCCAACAAGAAATTCCTGCAATAGCTTTTAAGGGGCCAGCCGGCCCCTGCACATCCAAAGGGACCCTTCAAAGCCATACACTCTTTACCCTCAGCCGGAGTAACATGTTCGCATGTTGATATGGGCAGTTCTCAAGCTTTTGTGTCCTTGTGGGTAGGAATCACAGTACAATGACAAAACAAGGGGCCCAAAAATGATCTCGTAATTTTGAAAAGAAACGAGTCCCCTCCCCGTTCTAGTAAACCCCCCTACTTAGACAGGATTATGTTTTATTGTACGGCACCTTATATTTGGAGGTGTACCAAAATGAAACCCCAATTTGGGAACTACCCATATGAGCTATGAACTCCTGGTATCCCCCTTAATGGTACTCCCCTATATAATCCACTGTATAACCCCCTTTAAGGAATGTAAACCCTAGACCTTAAACTAAACATTATAATCCGCCTTTCAGGAGTTAAGACTGCAGCTCATATGCCGTGCATGGCCTCCTGGGCCCTCGGTTTCACTAACGCCTCCATGTGTTGGAGGCACCCTCGGATCTCTTAGGCTCGCGGTAGGCATATTACGAAGCTACCTATGAACCTTGAACTAAGTTTGTGTCGGCTTCAACAACCTTTACAGGTAGGCTTCATGCGTCTGGAGTCTCCGACCCTTACAGGCTCTTCTTGCGTCTTCTGCCCTAGAGATCCTTTCCGTTTGGAAGTTTCCGATGTTGCAAGAAGCCTACTCGGAGGGACTGACCGATGGACAAATCGGATTGTCAACCGAAAAGCGGTCTGGGTTCTTAAGGTGAAAATCATGAATGGCTGGGTCAACACGAGCTCTGCAATAGAAGCTAGGCAAAATGGGTCGCATTCCCAATGCAGACCCTAACAGGCATGCTTATTCTGGAGACATTTCATGTCAAACTGCATTTTAAATAAACGTTTAGTGATCTTCTCTGCGTTCTTGCAAGGAGGCAACAATAATGACTCCTCAGTGATTCATTCTTGGAGTGCCCTACATACAGAGGGTAGTATGCAGGGCAAAATGGGGACTTGATAATTACCCTCCCCGAACAAACATGGAAGCCCATATCGCCCCGGCTTCAATCGCCTTTCATCAGGTAATGTAAGTTCTTGCTAGCTTTGGGGAGGGATTGCAGCTCGTGTGTTATCGTTCAGGCCCCCGTGCTTCAACAACGATGCTTTCCTGGCAGCAGAACTGCTCAACCGCCCAACCCATCGGCGTTTAGCGATCCTTAAACACATCATTGCCAAGAAATGAGTTCACCTCAGGACCTAAGGGCTTTCAGGCTGAAACCCGGAACTCCATTGTCCGAGGTTCATGCAAAAACGGCTACCTTATCCGAGGCCCCGGAGCTGGAACACTGCTTGGAGGAAGGCTTTCAGGGTTGTTTGGGGTGTGTAGGGTGTCTCAAGTTTATTCGAAGATTCGGGTGGAGTTGTAGGTAAGATAGTGGTGAGATTACATGGCCAGGATTACGATGCCTATGAAGACACGACATACACCTAAACCCTAAGCCCTGTGATGAGTACTCCTTGCTTCATGTGGGCATGAACAAATGATTGCTTTTAATCTCTGACCATTGGCATGGGCTGTGGCTGGAGAAGGAAATTTTAGACTTGTTTTGGGCAACAATGGCGTCGACTTAGCAGCACGTGGGTACGTAGTTGTACACGCAGCCTGAACTTCAAACACACAGACACACACCTTATGCTGCCCGAACCCTAAACTTTGCGACCTCAACCCAGAAACCTGATTCTTCGTCTCATGCCCTAGACTGTTTTGCCGCATGTGTCTCGAACTGCCAGGAGCATGGATCCTGAATTTGGCGACTCAGTCGATTCAGTCGGACACAGCTCCTGCACTTGACAATCGCACTACGGCTTCAAGTCGAGAGCATGGGGCTTAGTGGTTAAAGGTATATAGCATATCTTTTGGGACTTAAGCCTGTTGGGGCATCTGAAAGGTAGGGATCAGTGAGATGGGTTTTTCTTACCGTCCTGAAGCACAAGATCGTCAGGATACCCACAAAGCGTCCCTGTCATCTGAGCTATAGTCAAAACTCCTAGTATCCC